GAATCACTCTTGAGGTCATGCCACAGCCTCTCAATCAGGTTGAGATCAGAACTCTGATTGGGCCACTCCATAGGTGTATTTTCTTCTGTTGAAGTCATTCTGTTGTTGATTTACTTCTATGCTTTGGTTGCTGTCCTGTTTCATTACCCATACTCTGATGGTCAGAAGATTTCCTGCAAAATGTCTTCATAAACTTTGGAATTCTTTTTTTCATCGATAACAGCAGGCCCTGATGCAGCAAAGCAGCCTCAAACAATGATTTTACAGTTGGAATGAATCATGTTGGTGTGCTGTACCTTTTATTCTCCACATATAGCATTGTGTATTCTTTCCCAACAACTAATTTTTTTGAGTTGCACCTGTCCATGGAATATTTTGCCAATATAAAATGGAAGATCCAGATGTTTTTTTTTTTTTTTTTTTGCAAACTTAGAATGTGCTGCAATGTACTTTTTGGACAGCAGTGGTTTCCTCCATATTGTGCTCCCATGAATTGCAATATTGCTTAATGATTTACTTATTGTAGATTTGTTATAAAAAAAAATGTTACAGTCATGCCAGAGATTTCTGTATGTCTTTAGCTGACACTCTAAGATTCTTCTTCACCTCATTGAGCAGTCTACGCAGTTTACAGGATAACCACACTAAGAAAGAGTAGCAACAGTGCTGAACTTTCTCCATTTGTAGGCAGTATTTCTCACAGGTAACCCTTTCCAGTTTTATGCAAGTAAACAATTCTTGATTGTAGATCTTCTGCGAGCTCTTCAGCGTAAGACATGGTTCAAATCTTGCAATGCTTCTCTAGAACAGCAAAGTCAAATCTGGTGTGTGTGTGTGTGTGTGTGTGTGTGTGTGTGTGTGTGTGTGTGTGTGTGTGTGTGTGTGTGTGTGTGTGTGTGTGTGTGTGTGTGTGTGTTTATTTAAAAGGCAGGGCAGCTTTAACCAACACATCCAATTTCTTCACATTAACTGGACTCCAGGTTGGTTCACTGCTGGCTCAAATTAACTCTTGGAGATGTCATTAACTTAGGGCAGGGGTGTCCAAACTCGGTCATGGAGGGCCGGTGTCTTGCTAAGTTTAGCTCCAACTTGCTTCAACACACCTGCCAGAAAGTTTCTAGCATATCTAGTAAGGGCTGGTTCAGTCATGTTTGATTAGAGTTGGCGCTAAACACCAGCCCTCTAGGGTTGAGTTTGGACACCCTTGACCTAGGGATTCACATACTTTTTCCACCCATCACTTTGTTTCAATGTAAATCATGAAAACATGTAATGTTTGTGTGGTATTAGTTTAAGTAAGTTGTGTTTTTCTATCGATGTGACTGGGATGAAGATCAGAACACATTTTCTCTTAAATTTGTGCTGAAATCAAAACAGAGAGAAACACCCACCATGGCTATGAAGTAGCAGAGTATGTGAGAACCCAATGCTGGAATGCATTACAGCAATGCAATTAAACACCAGCATATTACTCTACTCTTAAAGGGCCATGAAACTACCCTGTTTCAGTAGGGTGTTCTCACACCTCTAGTTTGGAAAAAGTCAGGAAAGTGGATGTGTCTAGCTCTGTTTAGGTGGGAGTGTAGGGGGAGGATAAAAATTTGGAGTTTCCATTTGGGCACATGCTGATATTCACAGAGGCAAAACAAACACACAAGATTATGGGCTCTATTTTGATGGTCCATGCGCAAAGTGCAAAGAAAAGAAAAGCCAAAGCCATGGCGCATGATCTAAAAGAGCTGAGTTAATTTTCTTATTGAGTTATAGATGTGTTTTGAGAATAAACCAATCAGAGTCTCATCTCCCATTCCCTTTAAGTGCCAGTTGCGTTGCTCCATAAGGGCATTTGCAATTTACATGACGTAAAGTAAGTGTAAGTGGAAAAACTGAGCATTTCACAAGCAAGAAAACAGTTATACAGATCATCTGCAGCTCGAGAATGAGAGATAAGGCATCTCATAATCTACTTTTACTTTCGCTCTCGTTGATAGGAAAACCTTGTGCGCGCAGACATCAATTAGCTTATAAATAATTAATTTTGTTTGTTAAGCGCAAATATTTGTTTCAAAACTATTTCTAAATTCAGTTTTAATTTCCAGCAAACGAATAAATGAACAATAATAACGAAGTGTGGTCAAAAACTTGAGTTATATCCATATACACATGCTGTGCCCCATATGTTCTGAAACCTGACTGGTGGGCAAACCTAAGCTTGTTTTTAATAAAACAAATATAAATATGGATATAAGAAATAATACTGCTAAAAATGATAACATTATACAAAAGCAAATTGAATGAAATAAAAAAGCCACCTGAGATGAAAAAGGCTTGAAGGCTGTGGTTTTTAAATTTATGTAGGCTAGAAAATAATATGTTTTGTAATATTTTAATACTTTATATTTATATCCTATATATATCCTTATTATTTCCTATATATATATATATATATATATATATATATATATATATATATATATATATATATATATATATATATATATATATATATATTATTATTTTTTTTGTAAAAATATTTGTGTATTATTTTACATCTTGTGTGTATTAAGCAGTGTGTAAGTGAGGCGCACAACTAATGCACTCTGCGCTGGACTTTAGACCGGTTTTGATTTGGTCTATTGAAAAATCCATTATAGTTTCTCAAGTGCCAGCAATGCGCCTCAGAACGCCTTCCTTTTTAGACCAGAACGCCTATGGGCACACATATCAGTGCAAATGCATTTGCTATTTAAACCCAATGCTCAATGACTGTGTTTATAGTGTGATAGTGCCTGTAAAATGTTTGATACCGCAGGTCCTAAAAGAGAAAAAACCTTCTGCATTTCTCTGTAACTTAGAACTTTGCACTGGGTAGGTAGCGTCAGAAAGCCGTGTGTGTATAAACTTTCCTGTCACAAAATGCGGCGAAAATCCTACACGGCGGTAATAGTTCGATTGCAGTTTTTACATGTTTACACCCGGAGAGCCGCATTTACAGCGGATCTTTCAGCCCATAATATTGTAGTGATATTAACGTACTGTAAGCTTTGTAACTAAATTATCTTGACTAAGGTATGTCTTAAACTAAAACTAAATGATATTATCTTTCACTTAATACTGTGTTACTCTCTGCTTGGAAGCTCATGTTCAAAAACCCATAATAGGGGCTCTTTAATTTGTTACAATTAATGTACATTAGGGTACATTTTAGAGTTTTATTATTTTAGAATGAACAGTCAGTTTTGTTTAGTAAACATGGAGTTTAGTAAACATCTAGACACTTTCACTAATATCTTCAGAATTCGTTTTTTAGCTCTAAACATTGTATCTAAATTTAAAGATCCTCAATGCTATTGTAGAATAAGTCAATACTACACACAAAAACAAATTATGGGCTTCCAGACACATTTACACATAGAAATGTGCCAACTAACAATCAAAGAGGTAAAAAAAAAAAGGGCAGATGGATAAACAGACGGAGTTGTCCAAGCCTGCTTTTCATCAGTCTCCTGCGCTCCAGCCAGATCACGTGAGCATCAGAGTCGAGCCCCTGCAGTGACACTATCTTCCTGTAGGAAGAAACCAATTTCTGTTCAGAGCTCAGCAAACCCAGATGCAATTTGATGATGGGAAGATTTCTTGGAGCGGGCAAGACCGAATATTTTCCATCTCTCAAATTACAAGTTTGACATTTGAAAGATTTACTAACATGGACGTTCCCTCACTTTTCTTCTCCTGTTTTATCAGACAGTTTTTTGACATGCTTAATGGATGGTGCCAACAATTCCCAACACCTCAAAAAACACCTCTCCTGCAAATACCCTAACCTCTCGCTGTCCTAACTCAGCCTGTTCTCCCCCCTGATGACACGCTATTCAAAAATGTAATGTGTGAAAACATCTCTGAAAGAGAATGCTGAGACTGCATAAGCCAACAATATGAAAAAGAGAAATCAGAGGCTTTGGGTTTTCATGCTCGCTGAAAATGGGTCTTGATAGTGGTCTAACCCTTCACGGTACACTGGCATTTTAAAAAATGCATTGAAACCTGCAGGCCAAAGGCTCTTTTTCCACTTCTGATGTATGATAAATGGATTTCACTAAGAAATGTTTACGTCCATTTTCACATTACAATCCAACCTTTCCGCAACACTCTCATCTCATCATCTTCACAGCCACTGGTGTAAAAGACAATCAGAAAGAAAAAAAGCTTCTCTCGTTCTGCAATGTAGAGAGTGAAACACGTATTGCCCTGACCTCTCTATGTTATGTGTCTGCGTGACCCCTTGTGACTGCAAGAGCAGGGAAACGTACAGGCAGCCCACTGATTTTCTCACTGTAATCTATCTTTGCCCAGTGCAGAGGAGGCCATCATTACCCAGAGTTCTCAGGCGACCACCAACATTGACCAGGACCTTTTTCTTTATCACTGCTACCCAGACTTTTGCTGAAGGGAGAAACACACAATAAACGTTCAAAGGGCAGATGCAGCTGTACAGAACAAATGCACTGATGACAGCAAAAAGGTCATCAACCGCATCTTTCAAGAGATTCCGATGGCTTATACCGTATAGAACTTTGTGTACGTTATTTTGCACCTAGAAATAACTGATGTAAACAGAAAACAAGAAAGACTTTTTATATAAACTCTGGCCTACAGCAGTATCTATAACATCGAGCCATTTAATTGGTTTTGCAGTCCAAGTGATTATTTCTTTCTCTCTTTATTTTGTGGGCTCTAACAATTTACAAGGCCAGATGGGTGAGGAATTACCTGAAGTGCATAAAATGCAAAGTCTGCTTATCCTCGTCTAATGTTTAATTGAACGTGATTTCATTTTTCATCCCACCAAATGAAAGTACAATAACACTAGCTTGGCTCTATCAAACTGCTTAATGACCTCTGCTTTTGTACCCTGTATAACCATGGAAATGACTTATGACTGTCAAGCTATTCTCTTATGCACTAGTTTTCCCGCTTGAAAGGAAGACACATCATCAAGGGAGTTTTAACTGGATTCCACTCATCCATTTATTGCATCATAAATGCAGCAGAAAGGCAGGTAAAAAGTATAACGTTGGAAAGTTGAAAGTAGAAAGTAGAAAGTTGAAAGGTGAAAAACCTTTAAAATAAACAAAAATACAACATATGTAATTAAATTGCAAATAAACATATATATACAAACATTTGTGAATTTTGTCTGATTTTTCACACAGTATTTCAAATATTATACTGAATTAACACTTGTTAAAGCACAATCAACAGTACAGTTTAATACTGAAATTAAATATTTAGTTTTAAGACATAAATGAAATGCTATTAATTTTGCTACTGCAGCAATCAGCTTATGTGCACGTGATCTGCTCATGCATGCATATGAATCACGGAGGAAAATTAACATCTTAACGTCAGTCAGATAGCACTCAAAATGATGATTAAAATAACCAAAACTATACATTTCTGCTTTATAACATCTTCTAGTTTGCAAATAACTATTTGTATCTTGAAATAATTAAGCAGCGGGCAGATAAGCACTGTTGGAGCAACTTTTTCCTCTGTGCCGAACTTGAACTCAGATGCTGCTTCACGGTTGATTTGCCCTCAAATACTGACATGACAGTCACGATTTTCATGCAATAACCAAAGTAAAGTTCTCACCGGCTGCCACTCCGGGACTTGATGATGGTTTTTTAACTGTTGTGCACTTTCTTTCTCAATTTTGGCGGAGATTCGGCTTTGGCGGAGGTTTCGTTTTGGCGGAGATTCTGTTCTGGTTAAGTTTCAGTTTCCTTTTTCCTTACGTGAATGCCGAACTACTGCATGTCCTTCCGCCTCTCCCTCCGACTGGCGGATGGATTTTTTTTTTCTCCTTCTATATTAGTTTGACTTGACACCTCCCACTCGATTTTCTTGGGATAAAGAGGAAATCGCATCTCTTTGAAGGCAAACTGTTTAGTTCGATTACTTTTAGCTTTCAAAAGGATGTTCTCTGAATTATTTACTCTTTTGTTCCTCTGCAGGAAGTAGAACAACTAGCCGTCTGACATCTCTGTGAAGGACAGTACTCGGGATCTTCTCTCGACCGATTTTGGACTCCGAAGAATTTGCCCTTGCTTTAGATGGTTTTGAGAACAGGGTAACTTGGGAATGTTCTTATATTTACATCTCTTACGACACCTTTACTGTCTGGATTGACACTGATTACTCTGCCAAGCTTGTATTGTCCTCTGAGTGCATTCTGATCTGCGATCCAGACAATATCTCCAATTGCGACATTTCTGTGCGTGGTGTGCCACTTGCTCCTTATGAATAAATTAGGACCTGCAAGCTGGCTCCAACGTTCCCAAAACTTATTCACCAATGACTGCATTGCTTGGAGTCTTTTGAAGGGATAGCTGGAAAAGTCAAAAGTTTTAATGTCACCACTTTGAGACGCTCGTCCGAGCAATAGCGAATTTGGCGTTGCATATTGAATGCAGCCTTCCTGAGTTTGTGCCCTGGCATCGATTGGTCGCTCATTAGCAAGATTAGCTGCTATTTGAAGGGCTGTATGCATTTCACTGTATGTGAGGGTGGACTCCCCTCCGCAGTTTTGGAGTGCCCTCTTGATAATGCGCACTGCAGCTTCAGCAGCTCCATTTCTATGTGGGGAATCAGCTGGGTGAATCTTCCAGATCCACTCAGTTCCGTGTTTTACTGCTGTTTCCTCCAGGGTAGATTTGTCAATTCCCTCCAGGAATTGGTACAGATCTTGCAAAACTGGTCTTGCTCCAATGAAATTGGTACCAGGATCTGAAAAAATCTTTCTGGGATAGCCTCTAATTGCAGCAAATCTTTGAAAGGCCAGTAAGAAACCTTCGGTTGACTGAGAGTTAACCAGTTCTGTATGGATTGCCCTGCTCGACATACAACAAAAAACAACACCCCAGACTTTCAGCAAGACTCTCTTCTTGACATCATCTTTCACATGGTAAGGTCCGAAAAGATCCAATGCTGTGAACTCGAAAGGTGCAGCTGGTTGGGTTCTTTCTAAAGGAAGATCACCCATTACTTGCTGACACTTTTTTGCTTTGTTCTTCCTACATTGTACCCAGCTGTCCACAACTTTTTGTGCTATTCTTCTGCCTTTTAATACCCAGGCTCTCCTTCGCATTCTAAGCAGAGTCTCAGCCAAGCCTCCGTGGCTCTCCTTGTGAGATTCTTGAGCTAGTAATGTGGAAATCCATGAATTGGAAGGAAGAATTGGAACACTCAGCTGATCATCTTGAAAGACCTGCACCCTGCCACCGCAGATCAACAATCCAGAGTCTGGATCTTTAAAGACAACTAACCTCTCTTTAGTGGTGTTTGGAAAGGTTACCCCCTCTTGCTCAGCAAGAAAAATGTCTCGTAGAGCATCTTCTCTTTCTCTTACTGAAATGGTTCCTAATGACAAGACTGCCTCCCACTTTGGTTTATTTACAGTCCGTTTTTTGCCGAGAAACTTCTTTGCAGCTCTCCAAACCCATGCTATTGTTTTAACCAGTCGTGACAGGTCACTGAACCGCTTTATGTCACACAAGTTCAGGACAGCTAAGCCTGCTGGTGGTCTTTTTTGTTCCGCTCGAACTAGGTTGGGGCTCTCAATTGGTTTCGACTCCATAGTCGGCTCCTTTTGCTTTGTTTTTGACCTTGTCAATACAGCTGCAAACGCTTTCTTTTGAAGTTCGTTAATGCTTTCTCGGGCAGTGATAGCTAAGTCTTTAGCTGACTTGACTGGCCATTCATCTACTGGTAATCTCAGGAATCTTGGCCCATTTTGCCACTCTGAACTTTCATCGAGATTTTGAGGGCTAGCTCCTCTAGTTATCACATCAGCAATGTTTTGTGGGCCTGGTATCCACCACCACTCTTGCGCTTTTGTGATTCCTTGTATCTCCCCGATCCGATTGGCGAAGAATGTTTTGTAGCCATAGCTTTCACGTTGTATAGCACCAAGTACTGTTTGGCTATCAACTAAATGGAACCATCTCTCCACTTGAATTCGGCTGTGCTGCTCAAAGTACTTTCGCAAACGTGAGGCGAACACAGCTCCGCACACCTCTGCCTTGATAGCATCTCCTTTTTGGTCTAAAGGAGTCAGCTTAGCTTTGGACTCCACAAGCCTGATTACTGGGCCCTGTTTTGAGTCCCATCTCAAGTACATTACAGCACCATAAGTGTTTTCACTTCCGTCAGAAAAGGTTATCGCCCAGGGGTGTCCTTCAAATTCTGGAGGTGTTATGGCTCCTGTGAATTTAATTTGGCGTAGTTGGATGTATTCCTCAAAGAGTTTGATAGCATCTTCTCTAAGGTCATCTGAGAGAGCAGCATCCCAAGTTTCATTTACTTGAAGTCTTGTATTCTTTGCTTCTTGAAAAGCTCTGCGAACCAGAATTGCTCCCTTTTGTTTGGCTGGAGTCACTAAGCCTACTGGATCATATACCCCTGATACCTGACTCAAGAGCTCTCTTCTTGTCAGTGGATTTGGTGGGCTCTAACTTGCTCCTGTGTTAGATTTTGTCCAAGTTTAATTTTCTTTTTTCTTTTTGAAAAATTGATGGATGTCATCACATACAACTTGTCGTCTTCCACAGAATAGCCTAGGCCAAGTGCTTTGTTGTCATCATCAAGCAATTGGTTTGGCAGAACCATAACCTTTTCCTTTATCTTACAGCACTTATTATCAGACTTTTCCCTCCCACTTTGACCTGAGAAGACCCATGGTTTCAGATGAAATCCTCCACCTTTCAAGATCAACTCTGTGTTTGCCACAATGGACTGTAGCTGGTCAAGGTCATTGTGAGATGTGAGAATATCATCAACATAGCTGTCATGTTGGATTACCCGTTGTTCCTCTTCAAGGTGAGCAAAGGATGGCAAATTAGCAGTTTCACGCATTGCCAGTTGCGCAATGCACCCTGCTGGTTTGTCTCCAATATTGACTCTTGTGATCGCGTATTCTCCCAGCTCCTCATTTTCAGTGTCTCGCCAAAGGAATCTGTGCAAATGTACTTCTTGGTCCTCCAACCAAACGGAGTTGTACATTTTCTTAATATCCCCCAATGCAGCATACACTCCACTTCTGAATCTCAGCAGAACAGCACGTATCTGGTTTAGAACGTCTGGTCCTTTAATTAACAGGTCATTCATGCTGACACCTCTAAATCTTTGGCTGCTATTCCAAACGAGTCTCACTGGGGTTGTGACTGAGTGAGGGTTAGGAGCGATGAGATGACTTACGTACCATACAGGTCCAGCCCAATTAGCAATTGAACTTTCAGGTAGCTTAACTGCAGCCCCTCTGTCAAGCATGTCTTTCACTTGAGCACTATAAGCTGCTTTCCACTGAGGATCTTTGGCCAACTGCTTCTCTGTACGCAGAAATGTAGCCTCAACTGCACGCCTGTTGTCTGGTAAGGAAGTTGGGTCCTGTATCCAAGGATATTTAGCATGCCAATGTGGCTCATTGCTGTGTTTGTCCTCCATGACATAAGTGAGACCTTCTTTTACTAACTCCAGCTCCCTCTCCTCAGCAAGAGACATTTCTTTTCCACCAGGTTGACAATTCCCGCAGCGACAACCCCCACACTTTGGCTCACATGCTGCACCAATGGAATCCCACTTCCACCATTCAAGAAAGTCTCGAGTACTGGTTGAGACGCTTGATTCATGGAGTCTGGCTAGTGGTTTGTTTGGTGGACTGTACTCAGTTACTTCCTCATATTTAACAGCAGCCAATCTCATTGATCGTGCAAAATGAGTCTTGGACCGGTAGGCAGATACAGTCACATCTTCGAAAAGCTCAGGATGAGTTCCTCCAATCGTCTTTCCAAGTGGACCATCCCACAATACCAGGTCTCCAACAATTCTGATCCTCTGTGGAGCCAACTGTCCTTCCCTATGGCTTATAAGCAGGTCGACTACTTTTGGCCTTGCAAGTTCGGCAAGAGGTATGTCTGGAAACAATTTTTTCAGTTGGTTCGGTTGCACTGTGTTATTAATTTCAGCGATGCTTTCCAACCCATAGCACGCCAATTGGTGGGACTTGAAGGTTCCCTGGGAGGTTCTCACCCTTATTTTCAGAAGATAACGTTTAGTCTTCATCCGAACCTTCATGCCTCCAACTCCATGGATTACAAGAGTTATCTTTTCTCCTTTTAGGTTCAGACGATCAGCAGCGCTGTGCGTTATGTAATTAGTGTCTGATGCCAAATCAATTAATGTCCCAATCTTTTGACCAGCATTGGCTGTCACATTTAGAAGCATCATGATTACAGGCAATTCTAGCAGTCCACTTTGTGCTAGTAAACCTGGCTTTTCCTTTGTCACATTGAACACTCTTGCTGTAGTGTTTGAGAACACATTTCTACACTGCTGTGCTAATTCTGGTGAAAGTCTGCTGAGAAAATCTTGCTGATCTCTAGTGTAGTCTTTTACACATTTCTCCGTTTTCGGACAAAGTTTGCTCTTTTTCTGGTCAGCACGTTTCTCCTCTCTTTTAGCATTAGGGCATAAATAGTAGTGATGCTCAGGGACACCCTCATCTTCACAGTCTTGGCTTTTGCACAAGTAGTTTCGTTTGCAGAATGAATACTGCTCATGGACCTCAAGGCATCTTTTACAAGCTCCGAGTGCACTTACTGCAGCCTTTTTATCTACTAATTTCGATGCCCGGAACTGCTTACAGAAGTAGAGTTTCCATTTATGCTTAGCATCACCACAGACTACACAACCAGCCTGGCCAGTGTTTGATTTTGTAGACTTTGTTTTTGCCCATTTTGGTTCGTTTCGCACATCCTTTCTGTTAGGTTCTTCAAGTCTTAATTGTTCCAATTGCTCGTAGATGTTCTCTTGCTTTTTGAGGAAATCCAAAAGGTAGTCAAATCGATTATCTGGTGTGACTGCACTCTGTTGGGCAGATGCGTGAATAAGCCATTCCTTTTTTAAACTTTCAGGAAGTTTTCCTTCTATCGACTTTGTTACCAGTGGGTTGTTTATGGCGCCAGTATTTCCAAGATCACTCAAATCTCCAAGTGCCTTCTCTACTTCTTGAATTAGTTCAACTATTTTTCGTGGTTGGTGACTTCTAATGGGAGGAATTTTTTGCAAGTCTTCCACTATTTCGATAGCAATTGCTGTCTTGTTGCCATAGCGATTTTCCAAGACACGAAAAATTTCATCAGCAGAATTATAAGTGGTAAGGCGGAGTTCTCTTACAATCTTTTCTTCAAGACTGTCTAGTAACTGAACCTTTTTGACCTCCTTAGAGCCAGTGGGCTCACCCTGCTTTTGGAGTGCCTCCCAATCCTTCTTCCATCTGTGAAAATCTCTCTTGCTACCAGAGAACTTTGGTAGTGTTGCAGGTTTCAACTTAATTGTTGCTATGGGGTAAGTAGAAATCACTGGGACACGTGCTATATTCCTAGCCTCCTCAGCTTGTCTTGCTTGCATGAAATCAGCTTTCCTTGCCACTAACCTGGTAATGTTTGCTTCGAGTCCTCTTTGTCTCTGGCTGAAATCTCTCTCATCACCTGATGGGATGCACCGTTGCCATTTGTTGTACATCTCCTTTGCATTTTTTATCAGATTTTGAAGGTGACTAAGCATGAAATCGTATGCTTCATGATTTCCAGTTGGATCTACTGCTTCGACTCTATCACTCTCAGCTTCAGCAACCTGCAGTGCCGTGGACAGTTCAACATCCCCATATCTAGTCCATAACGTTTCATGAAGAAGAACTTTCACTTCATCCAGTTTTAACTCACAGTCGCTTGCAGTCTTCTCAAGGTCGTCTTTTTGCTGTTCTGTTAATTCAGCTGACTGGTCTGTATCCAGATTTGCCTCTATTTCTGCAACCATGCCTGCTTCAAGATCATCATTTACTTCCATGACTTTCTCTGCTTGTATTGTGAGTTTATTTAAACTGTCTTGAAGATCCATCTCTGTCATGTTTTTACAAGTTTTGAATATATTGTTGGCTAGACGTGTGAATGCCCTTTTTTCCACTGTCCTTTTTGCTTTTAGTTGTTCGAGTGACTTTCCTACCGCCTGTGTGGCCATTCTTCACAGTTATTCTTCAAATTGAATATATTATCTTCTCACTTGCCTTTTTTGAGTCAAACAGGTTTCCAGTTTTCCTGGTTTCCTGTTTTTTCACTGTCCAGTTTTCCACTGGTCCCGGTTTTTCACTGTCAAGCTATTCTCTTATGCACTAGTTTTCCCGCTTGAAAGGAAGACACATCATCAAGGGAGTTTTAACTGGATTCCACTCATCCATTTATTGCATCATAAATGCAGCAGAAAGGCAGGTAAAAAGTATAACGTTGGAAAGTTGAAAGTAGAAAGTAGAAAGTTGAAAGGTGAAAAACCTTTAAAATAAACAAAAATACAACATATGTAATTAAATTGCAAATAAACATATATATACAAACATTTGTGAATTTTGTCTGATTTTTCACACAGTATTTCAAATATTATACTGAATTAACACTTGTTAAAGCACAATCAACAGTACAGTTTAATACTGAAATTAAATATTTAGTTTTAAGACATAAATGAAATGCTATTAATTTTGCTACTGCAGCAATCAGCTTATGTGCACGTGATCTGCTCATGCATGCATATGAATCACGGAGGAAAATTAACATCTTAACGTCAGTCAGATAGCACTCAAAATGATGATTAAAATAACCAAAACTATACATTTCTGCTTTATAACATCTTCTAGTTTGCAAATAACTATTTGTATCTTGAAATAATTAAGCAGCGGGCAGATAAGCACTGTTGGAGCAACTTTTTCCTCTGTGCCGAACTTGAACTCAGATGCTGCTTCACGGTTGATTTGCCCTCAAATACTGACATGACAGTCACGATTTTCATGCAATAACCAAAGTAAAGTTCTCACCGGCTGCCACTCCGGGACTTGATGATGGTTTTTTAACTGTTGTGCACTTTCTTTCTCAATTTTGGCGGAGATTCGGCTTTGGCGGAGGTTTCGTTTTGGCGGAGATTCTGTTCTGGTTAAGTTTCAGTTTCCTTTTTCCTTACGTGAATGCCGAACTACTGCATGTCCTTCCGCCTCTCCCTCCGACTGGCGGATGGATTTTTTTTTTCTCCTTCTATATTAGTTTGACTTGACAATGACTGGATAATTGGTATTTTCATTCAAAGAATGGTTAGAATGAGAAAAAGACAAGAGAGGCTGGTGGCCAATTCCAAACACAAACACGGGAAGGTCTCTCTACACTTTATTTGTCATTTGACACAAACGTATTTGTCATGTCATTTGACATATTTTGCCTTGTTGATATGTCAACATTGATATTTGCTGTCAATTATGTAAAATATGATACTATCTGTGACTGTAAAGCATACACACAGTGCATCACTTAGCGGCATGATACATGCATGTGCTCCACATAAGTTTGTCCATCTTATTTATAAGCACTATGAACAGCAGCTACGCTAATTATTCTCTTCCTTTTCTATTTCCACCTGGGGATACTCATCCCGAGTTCCTCAGATCACGTAGCGCCACTGATTCGATCCAAGACTAGCGACGAGATGATCCCAAGGTTTCCATATCCTGGACCAGGCCGTATCCTGAGCAGCTACTGTGGTGGTCATGGAGGAGTGGAGAGCATGATACTGATTCCTGTGACCCTGCAGGTACTGACAAGTCTTCGCTGAGGTTCAGCTTCCAGCCTCTGGCACTTAGACTGCAGCTTTGCACAAAACGTTTGGCCAGTGGAGAAACGGTCATACCCATCTGAACCTGGTTCTCTCGAGGGTTTTTTTTTTCTTCACTTTCACCAATTGGTAAAGTTTTTTCCTCGCCGCCATGTTAAACCGAGGTCCTGACTCTCTGTAGCAATAAAAATCCCATGGCACTTCTCGTAAAAGGTAGGGGTATCCCTAATACCCATCATGGCCTCCTAATCATCTGCTAATTGGCTCTATCACTGTCTCTCCACTTCACCTACTGCTTGTGTGTAGTGAGTGCAGGGAGGCCCCCCTTGTGATAGTGAAGCCCTTTGGGTGAATGGCCATACATTAAAATGCACTATATAAATACAGGCATTACATTTTACATTATGTTTATGACAGATTTATGACAAGTTTTTGCAAAAGTCACTGCAACAGTTAAATTAATCAAATAAAACAAAACCAGTTTCCCTTCTGGACTACTAATGATTTGCAAAATAGGGGTTGATGATGATAGTGATGGTGGTGCTGAGGTGGATTGAATTGAGAATTGAGTGAGTTCAAGTGAGGTTTTTGGGACTGGGTTCAATAGTTCACAAAGTGTCGGGCTTTAAGCTCCTTAAATATAGGTTTTGCTCTTGTCTGACGGAAAGCAAATAAATGCTAACCCCAACTAGTGGCTCTAAAATCTCAAGGTTGTGTTATTCAATCTTTGTGTTTGACCGTGAAAACTGAGAAACTGTTTTCAGCTTGATTCAATCAACCAGGGAGTAACAGAAACTCAATCTGCTGTGGTGCTATTAAACTGCTGATGTGAGAAAGGGGAATTGTCCTATCTGCTTTTACAGAATGAGATGTTTAACGGTGGGTAGAGGTTCTCCAACTTTCTCTAGTAAACATGACTGAGCAAAAACAAATAACAGAGTATAAAAACCATGCAGGTGTGGAGGTGTTGTTGACAACAAACTATAATATATTAACCTCTTTCTCTTTTGAGAAAAAACTGCAGTCAGTTTCACAGTCAGAACCAGTTTTGTAATTTCATAACTATGCCACTGCATTTATTTATTACCTATTTAAACAGTAATGTGAGGTCACAGTCAAGCCGAGATCATAACAGTTTAAACAGAAGTGTGAATATGTCACATCTTGCGTTGAGTGACAAGAATTCCACTGAGCGTCACTATCACTGTAAATGGAGTTGGAGAAATGAAAGGGTGGAGGGTGTATCAGTGTCCAGGAAGCTTCAGTCCGGATTTGAGCCTCTTTGAGTTCATGCTGGGCATGAGAGAGAGCAGATTACAGCTGCTATTAGAGCTGCCTCTTTTATCTCATTGGGAGCATGGCAGGGGGGTACATTTCCCACTGCCCAGGCTGTGGCTCCTATGTAGGGTGCACAATAGTGTTAAATGTGTTAACGCACTAGCTCTGTTGAAAAACTCAGCAAGCTGTTGGTTGTCCATTGACAGCATGATCATTCTTACTCTAACTGATTTTAAAACACTTTATACATCTTGCAATCATGAGGAATAATAAGATCACTCGGGTACAACAATTATTTTAGATAAGATAATAAGACTGAATTTTATTTTTATTTTTATTTACTGTATACATCACATAAGGCCTTAAAAGTTTGACTTCTATTGCCAAAGTATGAGGGTGACACAGAAGGCCAGCGAGGCAAAGGCAGAATGGTGGATTTGGCAGGCCAGTGCAGAGCAAATGGGCCAGATGACTAAGGTGAAGCTGGAGTAAAAGAGAAGCTGGTGGAGACAGAGAATGGTGAGATAAAGTGCAACTTGAGACCCAGAAGTCTGAGATGAAGCTAGAGTGACAATGGACCAAGGTGGAGCCAAAGTATCCCAGAGAAGCCTGAGGGAGTGTTGGCAGAGATGAAGTCAAGGGCTATGAGGCCTGTGGTAGAGTTATGGGATCAGCACACAGGGGAGAACCTGGAGACCTGGAGGCCCATTGTAGATCCAAGCAGCTTGGCAAATCCACTAATGAAGCAGAGAAGCAGAAGAGACAAAGAACTGAATGGCATTGTCAAAGGAGAAGGGAGTAGGGTCTGGACATAGATATCAGCTTAAACATTTGGTCAGAAGCCTGGTTTATACTTTTGCCTGGCTCCGCTACATAATCCTCTGCTGATGGCACAGCCACAAGTTGTGAAGAATTACATACTTGACACGCTTCCCATTGTAACATTATTTGCAACAAAAGGGGGCTACACAGAGTTACTGTCATGATAAAACAGTTATAAAGAAGAAATCAGTGAGTGGAGTTGATGATGAATTAATTTACCAACATAAAATGAATTTGTGGCCAAGATGTGGATAAATTTGGACACTCATGAAAATGTTTCTTTTAGCATTGTGTAAATAAGTAATTTGGGTTATAGTGTATATATATTCAAGCTATCTGCATGCTTAATGCAAAACATTATATACTATGAAATAAAAACACAATTTACTTAAAAAGCTTTGAAAAGCCTGTGCACAGAATATATGCATTGTTTTTCCTCAAAGCTTAAAGGTCCAGTGGGAGATTTGCAAAAATGCCAACATAACATACTGTAATACCATTGGAAATGCTTGTCCAATACTTTATAGAATTTTATAATACTACAATTCCAAACTTAAAAACCGTTTTGAAAAACTTTATTATATCTAGCACGTTTTCAGTTGTGTATCAAGCTAAACTTGTCATAATGTGCAATATTTCATGCACGCAAGGATTGCTGATCTCTGCTGACGTGTCTACAGAGATGTAAACTTTGTCCAACGTAAGTGTAGTTTCATGACGGTGCAGTGTGGTGCACTTATTACTGACAGTATCCCCAAGTCTGGCATTGGGGTAAAGTTGGATTTATATTTGCACAGTTATACTTTTTTCTTAATAATATTATTTTAGAAAAGTTTTGTTTGCAAATTCTAAATAGTGAAATCATATTACCAGCCAGTGACTATAAAAATACAACCTTGTTGACAGTCAACTAAATTGTGCTAAGGTTGTTGTTTTTAAAGTAATACAAGCTATTTCAGACTGAATATTCAAAGTAACGTGTCACAAGTTAGCACTTCAAAAATGAATGAATTTGCCATACATATAAACCAACATTAAAGTTACCTCAGCAAAGAAGCCTAGATTGATTCAACTACATTAAAATCAGAAAAAAAATGAGTGCTAAAAACAGAAATATCCTGTCATCTTCATACATGTCACTTAAATTACCAAGACTATGACTGACAACACTAACATTTTTGACTGCTCGCTGCTCTTCATGTACATCATGTTTAAACACTACTTCATCTCGTTTTATGCTTGAACAACTAATTAAATGCTTAGGTCTATGTAACTAGTTATATTTAGATTTATTTGCATTATTGATGCTGTACCTTATGAACTTGAAAATAGTCAATCTTTCACCGGATGTTTCAGTACCTGAAAAACACCACCGTGCATATAGTCCATTCATAGTAGAACACAATCTACATGAGCTTTGAGAGACTAAAATAGTTTTAAAACATACCTGTCCAAACTAAATACTGCAAACATGGTGTCATCCTTCAGATCATGGTTTTGAACTGCATATTTCCCTCCAGCGAGCAAAAGCAACTTCAATATTGATTTAGGAAATGGTTAGAAATATTTTGATTTAGCATTTTTGGCAGAAGCCAAAAACATTTTCTTTTCTTAGATACGAGGCCACATTGTCTTTCAGAGAGAAGGTCAGGTTGATGTAAAGTTTGTCTGCTGTCACTCTTTCTGTCAGCTGTAGGTGGTCATGCTGCACATGAATGTACAAATGACTGATCTGTCTGCGTGAACAGGGTGCACAAATATACAAATCTTCATTTGTTGACGTTACATTTGCCCTGTGCTCCCAATCAAACTTGTGGAGGCATCGAGAATAAAAAAGTTTAGACTCAGCAGAATCTGGTTATGAGTGGGCAGTGGGCTCTGGTTTTCTGTCCAAGCACGTACAGAGTACAAGTTCAATATATAGGACTGATGATGGCTCAGGTTTAAGCTTTAGGACAGATACTGGGGTCAGCTCACACACCTAGATTAAGTTGGCTTTGGGTCTTTGGCAGACAAGAGCACTGTTCCTGGGTCTTTGAAGGGATGAGAAAAGAACTAAAGAGGAGTTCTGAGATATCTGTGGTCAGTGGAATGAAGATGGATGATGACAGGATGGTACACACGAACTGGAAAGGTTGAGTGGGTCTTTTCCATCCCACAAACAGTGACTGACAATCCACAGAACATTGTCCATGCAGGTGAATTGGCAGCATTTGGAAAAACTGATTATCCAGCCCAATGCAGAAAACAGATTTTTAAGGTGCCATTATTCCATGCTGGCTGAGCTTTTCAACATTGTCCTCTAAACGACCTGATAGAAATATAAAAAGTATTTTGGGGTTG